TTGCATGGTGCAACAACTCCTACTCCATAAGAATATATATATATATATATATATATATGAATTCGAATGGCATATATTTTCGTGATCTACGACCCGTGATCGGTGCTCTTCACAAGGTCTCGGGTCTGGGTCCGACATCATGGGAGAATACAATAGTGTATTTTCTTTGGTATATACACTAATATTTTCTTTGGAAAATACACTAAAAGGGAAGTTGTCAGGTAAATGTTATAATGAAGTGAATTTGGAACATGAGCAAATTGAACAAGATTAGTTACCAGGACAGTATAAATTAGAAAGAAAAGTTGAAAAAAATAAAAAATAAAAGGAGAAATGTGTATGATCAAAGGAATTTGGAATTCCACTTAATGAGTTACGATTTTAAACTTTCCCCGACGTACTCAGTGAGGTATAAAGAACCATTGGAAGCACTGCTCAAAGTTTTGTGTTTTTAAAAATTTTCAAAGTTTAAAAGTTTCATTTCTGATTGGTTTTTCAGGTCTTCTTGAAGTAGATTCCCAGAAAATATGGAGCTTTGATAAGTTTTTTTCCGAGGTGCAAACCACTCTGTCGCGGAAACTGATCCACGTTTATTACATCAATCGAATGCAGAACATCAGAATATATTTGCATCCAGATGAAACTGCAGATGAATTGCAAACTCTAATCACAGAGCAAACCGACGTTTCTGCTCACAACCAGATCCTGCTCCTTAAGGATACTCATTTGCTGAAAGTTGTTGAGAAAACAACACCGGGTCGGGGGTATCCCTCAACACAGGAAGATGGACCTGTCCTTCTATTTAGCACTGAAAACAATAATGTCACACTGCAACCTGAAAGTAATTTTTTTATCAATCCACTTGCATTTCTAATGTTCTCTATCCTTCCAAATGCATTACTGGTTTTTTAGCACCCCAGAGTTGTTTAAGCGAGAACAACTCACTCCCAGTAGTCAAAGCATGCACTATTTGATCGAATGCTCTTATTGATTAAGGAAAATGCAGATATTTTATTCATAATGTCAATGCTGATGATTGATGAGTCAGTAATTTTTTTTTGCAATTAATTTGCTAGGAATGAAAAGCTTTCAAGATTCCAAGGAGGGTTCCCTGAGGAGGACTCCTGAAGGAAAATGAAGAAAATATTTACATTGCCATTGGGAAGAGAATGTGACCCACTGAGTTCTGGCAGTTTAAGAAGAGCTTTGAGGGAATCCTAAGGGCAATGGAAATGGGTTTTAGGCGGAGATTCCGTTCGCAGTGAAAAATCGCGTCAAATAATGGAGGTTTAGAATGATATTTTGGACATTATCAAAACCATGCAATTGGTCATGTGTCAAGGATGGTGGATGGTCAGTTGCCCAAAGAAGTGTTTCATCGGATTCCTCTCAGAAGAAGGCAGCGTGGATGTTAAATGAAAGGTTGGTGGCAGACAATCGCATTGCTTGGGCATAGTGAGAGGCTTGACAGGGTAGAGTGACTAAGGGTTGTAATGGGGGGGGGGAGGAGGGCAGTTGAAGGTTTGGCCCTCCCTTGAAAATGTTGAAAGTTTAGCATGTCTATGACGCTTGCTAATGCTTTTACAATGCCGATTATTATCGTATTTTTCGAAGGAAATTTTTCTTCTCTCACTTCCTTCCTCAAATCAAATCATTTATTTTCTTTTCATCTATCAGAGCGGAAAGTAAACGCTCGCGCATGTTATGGCTCCTGTCTCATTTTGTTCCTTGGATCAAATCATTTTCGTTTTTGGTAACTCCTCACTCCGCCTCAAAGTGATGTTTAATGAATTTATTTTTTATTTATTCATTTTTTCTTAAATTCATGCGTGGGGTTCCATCCAGGAGACGAAATCTCTCCCCTTTCTATTACCCCTAGCAGTGTCATTTACCTAATGATCTGTGGGAGAGTGGATTTTGATGGCAATTTGGAGCAGCAGAGCGTCCTTGCTTGCTGATTAGCAGTTGAAATAAGGACCCAATAATAGAATTGTATGTGTATTATTTTTTTTACCTTTCATAAATTTCAAGGTATCCAAGTCTTCTTTTCTATACCTAAACTAGCTCAGGTACTATTCTTTCAAGATTGAAATTGAAGAATCAAGAGGAAACAACCATCTGACGGATTAGGTATTAAAAATCCAAGCATACTGAAGAATATGTGCTCAATCAGTAATACTGCTTATTTATTTATTGCAGGTGGAATTCCGAAATTTCCAACTTTCCTTAGCCTTACTGCTGTTGAAAATGACGCCAGCTCTGCCAAAACAGCATGCAGTGTGGGGCATGTTTGCAAAAGGAGGGTTGAGAAATTATCTAGGTGCAGCCAGCTATCGCACTACAGTGTTAAGGTATTCACGGCAGTTGTTGGTGAAGAGTTGGAATGTTTAGTACAAAAGTGTGATAGTCTCAAAGAAATAACGAATTGCACTGAACACCTGGTAGATGCTGTTTCCAGAGCAACCAATACTATCCACAGTATGGTGGGTGTAAAAAGCGAAGCTGTCATTCCTGATTGCAAGGTATTACATTTTTTCACTTTTCTCTTCACCTCTTTGTTATCACTCTCTTTCTCTTTTCCTATTAAAATAAATCTCCAAGAGATGACCTCAAAAATTAAAATTTCGTTGCAAGGGCAATCATTATTGATGTGAACTGTTATGGAACAACAATTGAAGAGCATCTTGGAAGAACAGCCCATGAAAACCATGGGTGAGTTTTTCTTCTGGACAAGCAGGTAGTAATGATCTCTAGTATGCTGTCATTTGTACAGATGGCTACTGCTTAGAGGAACGAGCACACTTAAAGTATCATAGCCCAAGTAGCATTTTGCAACGAAAAAATTGCAATTTAAATGAAATAAAATTGCCAGAT